ATTGCACTGCTTATTTGGCTGTCAACTGCGCGGTCAAGGCCACGGCAATACCCTTCCCATTTCGGCCATGTCCAAGGCCCCGGTCCGTGAGGCCATGGACACCTACGGACCACGGCGATGTTCGACTTCGGTTCTGCCTGTTGGCTATTTGACACCGCTCTCGACACCAGCACTCATTCTAGTATAAACAATAAAAACTCCTGGTAATTACCGTAGAACGAATGCGCGTTGCTGCAGTCCCCCCACCGGGAGGCAGTCTCATCCCACTGGCCACGAATCGGGGGAAGCACCTGGTCACGCATCAGGTGGTGGCCTCAACTCTCGGAGTGGGAGAACACCTGGCCACGCATCAGGTGTCTTCGATGGCATACACGCGCATACGCCTACACTCTTTAATTTATCGGTGGCCGTGCATGTTCTGACGATACCACGAAACTCCGCGGCCGAGCTGAGGCTGGCCAATGCCCAAACCATTTGTCGGCGTTTCTCGAACATAGGCATTAAAGCTTTTATTACTTTTATGAGATAACGAGTTCTGGTATTCTGGCTCTCGCTGTATAACGTATACCTTCTCCCACGCTTTCCGTTTTGTTGGCAATCGTCACCGTAACTCCGAACCTAATATTAACCCTTCCAACTGTGACATTCTGCACGCATCATAATAAGCTTGGCAATTTTCACACAGAACCGTACATAAATGCGTTTCGTTTGTTTTTACATGCGCTACAAGATTTGCGTGGTATGCTTGAGTCGATGATAAAGTATATTTTTTAGTATACCCATTCCGCTTATAGAAAAAAACAATTAACATCACAACACATGCAGTACACTCTCTCAACACAAAACGGCCTCGGGAGGCCTGAGAACATGGAACAACTGATTTAAATTTCAATTTGCTCCGGATGGAGTTGTTCCCTGAACGCGTTCCAGCGCTGGATTTCTATGCTGATACGGTGGCGTAGTTATTCCGATGCTCGTGCCTCGCCGGTTTCTTGCCGTACCCTCCCACCCACTTCCGTAAGCAGGCGGGTAGCTTCCGGTCCATTGGGTTCTAGAGTCTCGAAGCCCAAAATGCTGAACAAGTAGTCATGGGTGATGTTCTGGTAGTTGGTTACATTTTCCTAGAAAATACACCTACGTACGTTTTACAAGATATTGACGGCATGCTTACAAGCAGTAACGTGGCATCTGCAGTCCCACGACTCCAGTGACAGCGGGTCCGGAGTGATTCCCAATACGCAGTTTCAGTTGCTTCGTGGGACGATGGCGGATCTAAAGTTTGATCCCTTCCATCAGCATCAGGGAGGTGCGAGCGATTTCGCGAGCGTGCAGATACCTTGCGGATGGGCAGCCACTGACCACCTGTTAAATTGGGCAAATCACCAACGGTCATTAGTGTCTGCAAATTATACAAACAACTATATCAGGCTGTGCTGTTTACCATATATGCGCTATGCATCGCCAATCGTTTCCACTTTATACACATCGAAACCATCCAGAACGCCGCCGAACAGTGCTAAAACATTGAGCGCATTAATAAAATTAAAATTAAACAAAACTGAAGTGCCTCGGTTAAGTTAAAAGCTTAACATGCCATGCACTGCAAGCGTGTACTCACTGCAAAGGTCATTCAACAGATCAAGCACTTGCAACGGCGTGCTAGACGCCGACAGCGTGGTGAATGCGAAAATGTCGTTGAAATAAATGCAGCACTCGTCGTACGCTTCTGGTTCCACGGTTTCTCCTTGCTTCAAGCGGTTCGCCACCGATCTAATCCAGAACACATTCTCGATTACAGACCTGCCGTTACGATGTTTGGTACCGCAACTCATACCGTGGAACCACCTCGAACAGGACATTTTCCGACTTCTGCTTTTCCTGATAGACCTTCTCCGTACGCAGCATGACAAGACCTTCCAGATCCGTGGCGTATGCTTCCATACGCTTCATCAGATTGTCTGTCCATGAGATTGCTTTGCTCAGCGCCGGGGATTTTCTTCAGCTGGCCTTTAATGTCTTTCAAGGTGGGACGCGACTCCGGTGCATCACTCCACGAGTGCTCCATGATACTGCGCAGTTCCGGTGGGCAGGCATCGCCGGAGACGTGAGGACGCAGCGGCGTGTCGGTACCTTTCGCCACTTGTGCCACAATTGCTACAATACGCATAACTCACAATCATCGCCATCGTTGATGTTAATTTTAAAATTTTTAAGTACTTAATGCAGCCCGTATAGCGTACGTTGATTAGTGCAAGGAGAACTATAAGGGTTAATGGCAGGTAGCTGCTGCATTGCTCTATAATCGCAATTTCAGTTTTGGTTCATTATTGCAATGAGGCAGTTTATGCAACATAGAAGCGTACCGAATGGTTCCATAGGTAAGCGAGCGGGATCCGGCGAACCGTACGGATACACAGATGCATTGACCTTACACAGATGCATTGCTAACCTGGAATTGACCAGTACTGTAATCCATCTGCGCAATCGAATAATCCGATTCCCGGTCGCCGCTGGCATTCATCACAATACGTTTCCCCTCCAGATTAAAGGTATGGCTCCACATTTTATGGGATATCTGTTCGCCTGCTGATAAACTGCCCCCCCCCCCTGGCGTAGGTCTCATTTAACTCCTGTACGCTTCAACAGTCAGTACTTCGCTTTTTCTCATATTCCGGTCACTTTGAGTGTATGGTTTCATATTTCGGTCACCCGGTTGTACGCATGCTCAGGAAGTGAGCGGCTATCTCATTTGCAGCAATCTGTCCCTAAAAGTGACCGGAATATGAGAAAAAGCGAAGTACTTATCCAACATAATCACGCAGTAAAAGCAGATTCATACTTGGCCGTAAATCATAAGCGCCTCGTAGAATCCCAATGCAAAAGGGTTAGCCTACACATAAAATAATTGCTAGTATGCACAGCAGTGACCGTACCACAGTAACAGATAACAGTTCGGTTTGACGGTTACTAACAATTTCCCGTTGGTTTGATGGTAAGCCGTTCAGTGTTTAAGGTTCGCTACTGTTAATATTGCCAAGAAGCTGCTGCGTAATTTTGTCGCTGGCGTGATCTCGTAGTGATAGGATAAACATGGACTTGTAGGCTTCTTTGGCCTTCTGTTCCCATTAAATCTACACAGAATCTTAGCAAATTTTATCGTTAAATATCTGCATCCTTGGCTCACTAATGATAAGCAGATCTTGTTTTTTAATTTTGGGATTTAGTACTATCCGTATTTCATATTATACGTATTTTTGTCTATTACGTTTACTTTTGACTGCGACAAGTTGGGAGGATTACCTCGTCTCGTCCATCAGTGTCGTTGCCGGTATTCCACGAGCTGTTGCCGAAGAATGTCGGGCTCCGATACACTTCAAGGGCGAAATAAACCTGTACATCAGTAGGAGTATTGCAATCATAAAAGCGATACAGCGCTGACAGGGACTGCTAGGACCTAAAATATTTACATATTCGCCATTTGTCATGTTCTTCTCCGTCGCCATTAACTGTAAATTAGGCAACAAACTTTTTCAGCTGAAATACGTTTGTAGATATTCGGTCGCTGCTGATCGTAGACTATCGCTTATATATGTCGCTATCACTCTGCAGTCGAGCATCATCCAATTCTTTATTTTCGAGAGCTATATGTATTTGTAGTACAACGTACAAACCATCAACGCACCATAATTTGGCGGAAGCGTCTGCTCTCAGCGACAATGAAAATCACTGCAAGCAGTAGCCAAGATCCGTTTGAAATCAACCGCTGTTACACTGTTACCGTTCCTATCTTATGTTTTTTGTCCAGAACAAAAAACTGTTAAATTAACATGCACCCTGAAGATTTGGTTAAAAGCGTACATAACTCGTACCTCTCGTTACCAGGCGAAGCTGTCCCAGGTAATCGGACAGATTCCTCTTATCGTTGGAGTTGACCAAGTAATGCGACGCGTTTATGTTGTTCATGGGCAGTGTTGGCTTATCTTTGAGATCATAGCACAGAGGAAGAAACAGAGAAAGGTAATCATTGGACGTGTCACACAGTACGCCGATGGAATTGTACTGATACCTACGAGGAGAAAGCTGACGAGATTTTCCGGTGTATAGGGTGACAAACGCGTCAAGGTCGGATAACGTGTTTAATGATAACTCGCCGCGCTGAATGCTCAAAGCTCTGACACAGGAAGGTGTCCTTTTGCATCGACAATCGCACTGGTTTATCATTTCCATTCAGGTGATGCGCTTCGGAGCTACTGGAACAAATATGGCATGTCCGTTTATGTAATGCCACGCAGCCTACCAAAATAATGGGCCACAAGAGCACTCACCGACTGTCAAAGATAATTGGCATACAGTTACCTTGCTTCGTTGTAGCGCTGCTGGCAATTAGGACACCCTTTGCGTATCAACAACCGTTAACGATGGTGCCTGATGAGTCGCTACTCGCTGAGTACTTATGTAATAACACACGGCATTTGGACACAGTATTTAGAGAACTGCTTCCGGAAGAAGGGAAGTTACTGAACACGAGAGATACAATGACGCTCAACAGACTGGTGGATTACTGCATACATTACGTATCTGTACTTCATACAAAAAGATTTACATATCGGCAGTTTTAGAATTATTTCTGACCACTAAAACGAGAAAAAGCCACTGCGAAATAAGTCATTACGCTTTTTTATGTATGTAAGTTGTAACTACAAAGTCTTCCTTTAATAATAGCCACGCATGATTCCCAGTTTCCTAATCTAACTTATTTTATGCATTAATTCCCGTTACGAACGCGACACCTTTCGACTACCTACGAAAAACTGCTAAAATTATGATTAACTTTACAAATTTGTCAAAATAACTTTGTTCATAACATCTGCTTATTTTATTGGGAAGGAGGATTACAACTCCTAGTTAATAACTTTTCAGAAACAATAAGTCACGAACACTAGCTATTGCCCTGATTCAAGTTCTTACACGGAAACGAAAACCGACTGGCAAAACCGCGTTTTTTTCCGCTTTCGAGCAGGCCCCTTTCAACAGCGTGCAGCAGAGCCGCTTGGGCAAATCATTAACAACAAAAAAACGGGCTCTTGACCCGACACAGAAGGAAGCTGGCGACAAAAAATACGGGCGCTTGACCCGGTTAACAGAAGAAACCTGGCGAGGAAACGCCAAAATAACTGCGCCCATAAACTATAATTACATACAAAGACAAATACTGGGCAGCAAAATCAACAGGGACATTTCCCTAATGGGCCGCGGCCGCGGGGACGGCGATGTGGAAATGGTTGACCAGCAAAGCCTTCAGCTCCGCGATGTCACGCTTCAGTCCGACCACTTCCCGCTTCGTCCCGGCCGTGTCGGCTGCCATGGCGCTGAGGTCCTTGGCGATCTTCACCAGCCAGACTCCATGGCGCTCCACCTCGAGCGTCAGCTTGGCCACGGCAACCCGAACCACCTCCACTTCGGCCGACAACTTCGTCGTCTTCTTCCCAATCAACTGCGCCAGGGTGTGGGTTTTGACGTTGATGAAGTCCAGTGCGGCCATCAGAAAGCGGTATTGGGCGTTCGCGTTGGGCTTGGTCAGCGACCACGACGCCATGGTCTCGGTTAACGTCGCGCGGGCCTGCTTCTCTTTGGCCCTCAGCTCTTGCGGTGTCTCGGGCCAGGCTTCTCCTTCGTCCAAGTAGTACTTCTAAAGAAGATTACCAATGCTGGTTAGATGAGCAAGTGCAAGGTTTCTCTGTACTGAGCGCAAATGCGAATGTACCATGCTGGGCTTCGTTATGATCCCCGCTCGGGCCAGGAGATGACGCGATCCGGTCTTCATTAGCTGCAATAGAATACGTTGTACAACTGGCACCATGGAAACTGAGCCTGCACGTGAAATGTCGAATCAAAACGTTTAACTGCAGCATACCAATGGGGTGTTGTTACGATGATTTCAAAGAATAATTATACATTTTTTTTATTGTTTTTTATTGTATTAATTAGGCCAGCACAAGTACCGTAATTATTCATTAGTTTAAATATCGTATCGAATACAAGTACCGTATGAATCTTGTACGGTACACAGTAATCGCTATTTCTCATTTCGTTCCAGTTACAGTACGCTTTCGTTTTGTACAGTCCTTACTAATATTATTCTTATTCGTACTACCTAGTAGTTATTGTTCAAATACTGAAAAATTACCATACGCATATACCATACGTTCAAATACTGAAATATTACCATACCGTACGCATATCTGCTGTTTTAAACTTTCGCCAGCTTACTATTCACCTGTAAGTACTAGCGATAAATACGAGCTCGCTGCTGTTCATTGCATGATGGAATAATTACCAATTACCGACCGCATTCGCAAATTATTCTCACAATTTTCTGAGTATGTTTTCAATACGTTGCATGTTAATTAGCTCGCGGTTGCCACGACCCAGTGGCTGACATTAAAATGCAGATTACCGCATAAGAATTAAAACTGATACTTACTTCCAGCGCCCTAGCGACGCCTCCAAGGAAAGCCATGACGCCCGCCATGGTCACCGCTGCATTGAAAATCGGCCCTTGGTTTCCTCGGAAGTGAACATCGGTGAACGTCCAGATTGCGGCGTTAATTGTTCCGGTTGCCATTGCTGGAGCTATCACCACAAACAGGAAGGCGAATGCGCAGGCCACGGAGTCACAGATCGCCATTTCAACTACCAAAAAACCCCCAATGCGTTATAAACGCGACACGATGTATTGTACACAATACACATTACTTACAATTAGCGTAGCGCGAGTATGGTGACGTTCGTTAATTTCGTATCGTACTTTTCGAAAACTGCTACGTGCGCATTTGAAGTTCTGTTATTTTTGAATAAAATAATAATGCAGACATGCACATGGTACTTATTTATACATGGTAAATACAGGTATTAATAATTATTTATATGTGTACATGGTACATATTTACCTGGTACTTGCAGACATGGTACATACAGTACAGTAAATTTGTACGCGGAATCAACTGCTGTTGCCTTCCTGTCATTTGGTAAGAAAAAACGGTTGATTTCTGCTTTCTAGCTACTCTAGATAAGATGTAAAGCATCAAAACTGACAGGAAGTCTCGACAAAATTTCGAATACCATGTTTCTTACACACGTCCCCTCGAAACGATGAAAGCAAACTCTGCGCATAAAACTACCACAAAGGCCACAGAATTATGTCCAGCAATTCCAAACAGAAATTTAGAATTAAGAAATTTTTAAAATTAAAGAATTAATGCATTAATGAGGAAAATAATATGTTAATCGAGTGCATAAATGAATCCGTATTACCGAATGCGCATGGTATGTTGTGCTGAACCTGCCTGCATCAGTACGATATAATAAGCAATACTACGTACGGAATGTGCAGTACTAGCGTTAATTAAAATTACGTCGTTCCCGGTAACATTAGTGTAACTCCCGGTGGCGCTGCCAACATTTGCGCAACGCCAACACCACGCGCCCGTAGCGCGGCGCGCGACGTGCGCAAAGCAGCCCGCCGTTTTCCCGACTCGTTGCCAACCGTTGCAACTACGTCCCTGCCAAACACGAGAAACCGTACGCTGCGCTTGCATCACCCTGCCGCCGAAGTTCTCCGGTTTTCCAGACAAAAAACGAAAATTTTTAATTGAAAAAATTCTTATTTTTATACAGTAGTACCATGATTCATTAAAATAAACCTCCATGCTACCTAACAAATGATCCTCTGAGTAAATCGACGTGTTTAAAGGCTAGTATAACTGGGAGAAGAATACGTGTCCTTAATGATTAATCAGCTTAATTACACGTTTTAAATGCCGCCGAGCAAGACACAGACTAACTTTACGAAAGGTCGAAATGATAGCAAACGTTATTGTACGCTGGATAAAGCGAAAATACGAAGCATGCGACAGCAAAACGGGAAGAATTAATTTCCAGAATTAGGCAAACGTATCGTACAAACTTCTACGCAAATTAAAAGAAAATTCACACAAATCGCTATCCGCAGTTGCAGGAAACAGCCAAATCTTGACATAAAAAAGCGCAACACTCACCGAATTCAATTGGAAATTTCGGAAAACTGAAAGAGGACGACGGGGGATGGCTGGTAACCGTTTCTTTGATACTCGCTGGCTGGAAACACACGTACAGCGGTTGATTACGATCGAGCAGCCGTTCACTTTAATGCAAATCGATACTCTGGAGCGATGATAATATGGTTTTATACAAATTAGTATGATTTACTATTTTCTACTTACGTTGTAACTATGGAAAAGTCGGTGTGAGGATCGCGGTAAAAACGGTGAGAGAGTACGGTAAAATTTGGAAAATTTCAGGGAGACGTTAAACGAGTGGAATGACTGGCTGCCCATTTCAATTCTCCGCTCGAATGCACGCGGCCGTACGGTTATACCTGTTGCCTGCGCTAATCGCGCTGACGGAGAATGCCCCCGCCCCGAACGCAGGAAATTGCGCAAATGGGAAACACCGGAGGCGTTCGTATTGCGCAACAGCCAATTCGCGGTGGCAGTAGTCGAGCCTGTGCCGGCCCACATCGAATCGTCACGGCGCTCCGACCGCCCATAACTGCGTGACGTAGACTTTCCCTCCCGTCTTCAATTCCAGACAGAAATTTTCCAGACACTTCGGGGAAATCATGAAATGATCTGTGTACGAGCTGATCAAACCCAGACATATATAAAACAAAACCAGACATCTGCGAGGTGATGGCTTCTACGAGCGCTAGCTCGTTAAGGTCAGCAATAAGATAGAAAAACAATACTAATTAAGCAAAGTTATTAATTATCATTTGTAGGTATTTAGCGGTAACGCATTGCCTTTGGTAGACTTATTTTAAATCCTCATAAAATTGGCGGATTTACGAATGTAGATGATGTATTAGCACATGAAAAATTGATGAGTTATGAAGAAAAAATTTAAACCAAAATTGCGATCTCCCACTTTTTTGCAAGTAACGCGGCTATTCACAAAAGAGGGAAGTGTACTTTGCTCTAGCGGAGACTGCTGCAGAGTGCAAAATAAACTGTACACTATACATACATGGCACATGCAATATTTTGCGAGCAACTTCAATAGCTACGTTCTGGTAAAATCGATAAAACGTTAATAAACAATTTCGAATAACTATATCTGTTTTCTGCAGAATATTATGAAAGCAGCTTTCTGCGTAAAATTAGTTAATTTTGTTGGATACTAAGCCTGCATAAAAATTTGCAAACCCGAGCACTGAAAAAATCGTAATAAAATGTTCCTTTTGGCAGCGAGAATAATTAATTCGGGATATTCAATAATGGTGGGACGCAATTTAACAGCTTTATAATTGATGTGGTTTGCGTTAATAATTAAGTTAATTTATGTGGCTATCTGATAATGATTATCTTCCGGTTTTATTACAACGTTATACGGGTTATTTACTGGATTTACGCAGCTGCTCTATGTTTCGTACGAAGTACAATTGAAATCTCCAGAGCAATACAGGTAGATTATCCAGGTCACAATGGAAAAATTAATATGCTTTATATAAATATATTATGCGTATCAGCGTATGCAAATGTACGAGCAATTCTGCAAGATCGGATGAACACCAAACCACCTTCTCAGATAATTCAATACTTCGTTTGATATTATCTTTTTTGTTTTGTACACGACACACATAAAATGAAAGGAACACGATCCCGTACTGCATAAACGTAATGCTAGGAATCGTAGTATGTACGAGTGTATGACTATGTAATACGAGTGCAATGTAAATTGTACTGCAGGGAGTACAATCAGGCCGGAAGTTTGAATTTTAATCCAAGTATCCCTAATCTAACACTAACAATTGTTCAATGAGTTTTGGCATATTAATGCTAACTTATTAAATAGGCAGATAATTACTTTGTTGTCATTTCATTATATTAACTGCACATACGTACAAGCAGTTTTGCGATAGTATGGGCGCATCCATCATGCGAAGCAAGAATGATCGTCCAAGAATTCGCAACATATTTCTCCATGATATTCCATATTACACAACATATTTGAAATCCAGAAAATATTATAAGAAATGTATTCGCCAGAAACTGACATGGTGCAGTACATAATAATCCATAAATCCGTGAGCTCATAATGTCAAATAAATATCGGAAGCAGATACATCCGTATACATTAGTCGTTACAAACGGGTGATGCACAAAAATGAAAATATGGCACTGGAAAAAGATCTTTACGATTTTTGTGAGCCAGATTGGATGAAAATGGTATTGAATTCTGTAGATAAAGAACGTTTTGGTATGCACCAACACGGCATTAACCGCAAGACAGACTGTTGCGTGGTGAATCAGGCAGTCTTATCTCGCCATGCTCCAGTGCTGATGCTTTTCCGGCGTCTGCATCTGCGAGAGGTATGGTCGCGTTCACGCTGACCGACGGTATCAAGTCGATTTATCAATTACGCTTTTTTGCATTGCTTATCTGGCTGGCGTGCTGCGCGGTCAAGGCCACGGCGGCGCGCCCTTCCCACGGCGGGCCATGTCCAAGGCCGGTTCGTGAGGTTATGGGCACCTCCGGACCACGGCGGTGTTCGGTTCTGCCCGTTGCCATTTCGCACCGCTGTCGACGCCAGCACTCATTCTAGCATAAACATTTAAAAATCCCAGTAATTACCGTGTAAACTATTGCAAGTTGCTGAAGTACCTAGCAAAACTAACAATAAAAAAATTCAGAATCCAAAATTGAAAATTTTAATAAATTTAAGCAGTCGATGTTTGCGTATGCTGTAAAGGTTATCCTGGGGTGATGCGGCAGTGAGAAGTGCATCAAACTCCGTCTGCGTTTCCAGAACACCAAGGAATTGAACAGACGGAAGCGGAGGTGAAGAGGTATGACCTTTACGATGAGAACGGCATCCCGGTGCCCATGGAGATCGCCCACGAAGTCCGCAAAGGCGAAGGCCCCTTCAAATCCATTTACAAGAAATGCAAGGAAGACCGTCAGCGCGGCGCTTTCTTCAGCAAGGAATGCGTTGACTTTGCCATCGGGTAAAGCGATCTCCTCCGAAGTTCGACATTGAATACAAAGAGGTGTGTTGAGGTTCTTGATTAAGCAATGCGGTTCGCGTACATTTTAATGTAATGCTTATGATTTATTAGGTGCCTTGCTTCGACCGCAACGTTCAGTCCAAATTGGAGCACCAGGTGAAATTCAGATATTTCGGGAATACCGACACCAAGGAAGTGGACATTCACAACCCGGAGAACCCTGTAAAGATGCTGATTGAATTCTCCGCCGACCGTAGCACGACATGGACATCAGATACCGGTACCAGACCCCGCGCAGCAACGTCAGCATCATGAACATCGATCTGCCGGTTGATGTGCAGACCATCAGTGCGCTGGTGCCCTGGACGCCCGCCCGTACGTCTGGTCGGTCTTGCCATGTACCGGAAGTACATTCAGTTGAGCATTATTTTTTGTATTGAGTCGAATTATACAACTATATCACCTAAGTTAATCGTTCCTTTATTTGGAAATAATTTACGAATATGGTGCTGTTTATAAGTGTTAATTAAGATTTGCAGTTAAAAAATATTAAGCGTGGATACCATCCCTATTAATAGTTTCTGTGTTATCAGACATACTTATGCGTTCTGGCTGAGTGAGTCACGAAAAAACTGATGTGTTATAGACTTTTGCATATCGGTTCACAAAAGTCACGTCCGATGAGGACATGCTAACGTACACAAAATACTTTTTTATCTTGATCAGTACAATTATCTGTGCTGTGTACGACAAATTTATCGTCAATACACGAAAATTGTCGTCGATAAGAAGAATATGTCGAAAATAGCAATTCAAGTGGAATTCGCGCGAATACATCGCGTAATGCGCGCGCGTGAACAGTGATCATAAAATTAATAACAATCGTTTACATTCATTTTGCTTTCTTCGCCCACTTGGTTGTTGTGCTTGTACATGTTAACTGTGAAAATTCTTTTTATAATTATATATGTCTTATTAGGTTTTGTTACATGGCTAGACGTGGCGTAGCTAAAGCACTTTCGTCACTGAATTCTTTACGACGCAAAAACAGCAAGAAAACGGTTCATCTTTTTTTAAAAGTTTCAAGCACTCTGTGAAGTTACATCTTGTTTAATTATTTGGATGAAATAAATAACCGGTAGAAAATCGACTTCGTCAGAATGCACCAAATGCGATTGCTTGCCCAACACGACTAGCAGAGTGTGGTCAGTCAGCGCACCGCGTGTGCCAAGCTAACAAGACCGTAATTATAATTAATTGTGTAAAAGGATATGATCGTGAATGCATACGCATGCCTACTTGAAATAATTATAACGCCGCCATAAATCGCCATAGTGTACATGCATGTACGCGTAGTGCGTACTTATTACGCGCATTGATAATGCGCACATTGTACAGTCTGCAGTCTGCATCATCTACTGTACTCTGTAGCACATTCCGTCACGGTTGAAGTCAGAATAACGAAAAAAACTTGTGTTATCAGTGTTTCACATGGAGTGAATTCGCAACGGCAGTATCAACATGCAGGACTCTTTCACTCTGTACAGTCACTCTGTACTGAGTCTACTCTGTAGCAGCAAAATTAGTCTGTGATATTACAAGTCCAAACGTGAAATGTCAGACGAACACACTCTTCGCATGCACCGCACTGGACTATTAAATTTTATTGCTGATGCGACCGGTGTTTATACTTATATTTCGCCAATTTCGGAATATACCTATCCGGCATCTAATTCTACAGTAGTTGATTCAAAGCAACTGTTAGAAAATGCAGTATTTCTGTGGTTTTGTATTGACGGTGTGACCAAATATTATCTTATACCAGTGCACACTTCTTTGCTGACTTGTGAGAAGAGCAGCTATAGTTTGAATTATTAGAATTTTGCAGATCGGCTAATAGCATTAAAAAGGATTAAATGGATCCCATTGGCAAATATAATCAACACGTTAATTTTTATCGACTGAACACTGTTGCCCAAAACAAGCAGGACAATCGCACTTGGTTGTGAACTGAATGGTCATTAACTTTGTTCGAGTAATTAACAAAACCCTTTACCCGCAAGCAGTACTGATTTTCGTACTTTAAGACTGAGGATCACAAGCAGACCATATTACCTGAGACTATATAGGTATTTCCAGATTTACTGAATGTAATGATTATCACCGTCGAATAATTACGGTGCAGCTATTAATGTCTTTTCCAGTATGTCATCACTCACATAAAATTAATGCTATTAGGTACTACATACTAGTGACTGCATCCTGAACAACGTGAGAAACATACGCAATTTACGGCATTCGTTTAATTAAACAAAAAAATTAATAATAATTTTATGGTCACTATTTTCCCGGTTAAAAAGTACATATTTGTACTAGGACAAAAAATGCCCGGAAAGAATAAAAACGGCGGTTAACGGACAAATTTGTGTCTTACAGGATAAAAACGTAACGATTTAAGGGGTATTGTGAATCGCACGTATCCCGTGTCACCAAACGTACGAAAAAAAGTGCTGAAAAAACTATCATTGACACAAAAACTTTTAATAGGGCATACAAACGCGCGTCATATATATGGTGATCGACTTCTAAAGGCTCTTTTTGATGCCTGTACTTTTAAATTTCACCAGATATGCACTTTTTAAACACAGAAAACATTTTTGAAGATAAATTTAAGTAATTTTCTTGAAGAAGTTGTATTACGTGGTGCGATAGAAAAAATTAAGTAAACCTGAAGGAGCCCAGAACTCAGCTGTGCGCTTCCCTTCCTGCAAACGCAAAATAAACCGTAAATTAATTGTCAGTTGTTGTTCATATTAACAAAACATATTAATAAAAACATATTAATAATACTCAGCATCATTGCAAGAATGGCTTATATGGGCACAGAGTAATTTTACATTTATTTTTCATTTAACAATATTATTTGAAAAACATAATGTTTTGTTGGCTTTGCTTTTTCAATGAGAGTGCAGCAGCACAGTCTACTACCAATCCTGTGTATTAAGATTAACATCTGTATATTGGAAAGGAAGATTATGATTTCTAGTTAATAACTTATTAGGAAAAATAAGTCACAAAATACTAGCTATTGCCCTGATTCAAGTTCTTATACGGAAACAGAAACCGACTGACGAAACCACGCTTTTTACGCTTTCGAGCAGGCCCCTTTCAACAGCGTGCAGCAGAGCCGCTTGGGCAAATCATTAACAACAAAAAAACGGGCTCTTGACCCGACACAGAAGGAAGCTGGCGACAAAAAATACGGGCGCTTGACCCGGTTAACAGAAGAAACCTGGCGAGGAAACGCCAAAATAGCTGCGCCCATAAACTATAAATACATACAAAGAAAACTACTGGGCAGCAAAATCAACAGGGACATTTCCCTAATGGGCCGCGGCCGCGGGGACGGCCATGTGGAAATGGTTGACCAGCAAAGCCTTCAGCTCCGCGATGTCACGCTTCAGTCCGACCACTTCCCGCTTCGTCCCGGCCGTGTCGGCTGCCATGGCGCTGAGGTCCTTGGCGATCTTCACCAGCCAGACTCCATGGCGCTCCACCTCGAGCGTCAGCTTGGCCACGGCAACCCGAACCATCTCCACTTCGGCCGACAACTTCGTCGTCTTCTTCCCAATCAACTGCGCCAGGGTGTGGGTTTTGACGTTGATGAAGTCCAGTGCGGCCATCAGAAAGCGGTATTGGGCGTTCGCGTTGGGCTTGGTCAGCGACCACGACGCCATGGTCTCGGTTAACGTCGCGCGGGCCTGCTTCTCTTTGGCCCTCAGCTCTTGCGGTGTCTCGGGCCAGGCTTCTCCTTCGTCCAAGTAGTACTTCTAAAGAAGATTACCAATGCTGGTTAGATGAGCAAGTGCAAGGTTTCTCTGTACTGAGCGCAAATGCGAATGTACCATGCTGGGCTTCGTCATGATCCCCGCTCGGGCCAGGAGATGACGGGATCCGGTCTTGATCAGCTGCAATGCAATACGTTGCGCAATAAGTCACCATGGCACCATGGGAATAGAGCCCGCAAGTGGAATGTCGAATCAAAGTGCTTAAGTACAGCATACCAATAAGACACTGGTGTTATTACGATGATTCCAAAATTAATGATACATTTTCTGATTTTATTAATGGTAAGTACTTAATTACATCGGTACGAGTGTAAGTATCGCATCGACTACAGTCTACAGGTAATAGTACAGCCACGGCATAATAGATACCGTGGTACAGCAACGTATGAATTTTGTACGGTACAGCAATCGTTATTTCTCATTTTCTTTCCAAATTTTCAGTTTGCTTTCGTTTTGTGCAGTCGTTGCTCATTATTCTTATTCGTAGCAGCGGCTGTTAAAAATTCTAACCAGCTTACCATGTACCTGTAACGTACTGAGTACGAGCGCGTCATTATCTGTATTGCTTCTTTCGCATGCATGACGAATACTACTATACTAGTAATTACCGGCCGCGTTCGCACACCATATTATTAAACTCACAGTTTTCTCAGTATGTTTTCAACACGCTGCATGTTAACTCGCGCTTGCCGCGCCCAGCGCGGGCTTACATTAAAATGAAGATTACCGCATAAGAATTAAAACTGATACTTACTTCCAGCGCTCTAGTGATTCCGCCGAGGAAAGTCATCATGGCCACGAAGGTAATTGCTGCGTTCACGATGGGTTCTTGGTTTAATGCGCTGTACTGGGCCTCACTAAGCTTCCAAATCGTCCCGTTGATGCTTCCAGTGGCCATTACGGGAACGATAACCAGGGACAGGACGGCGAAGGCGCAGGCCACGGAGTCGCAGATTTTCATCGCCATTTCAATTACGAACATAACACCAATACGTCATAAACGCGGTACGATGAACACATTACTTCCAACAGCAAGAAAACTCAACGAATAATCAACTGCACATCTATGCATTCAGTTAAAAAGCGTCATGCGTAATTAAAGACTTCATAAAATTCAACAGAATCGAAACGTACTGTACATGTTCCACTGATACGATAGGAATTAATTTACAGCAATGAAATTTTAATTAACCACTGAAATTCAGAATTTTGATTAAGCAGTTAAACACTGTGACTGCAAAAAGCGCATCGTAAACCCAGGATAAAGCATAACGCCAGTCCAGTAACGTTCGTTAATTCCATATCGTTGTTTTCGAACACGGCTACGTGCGCGTTCGAAGATCAGTCATTTTTAATTAAAATAATCATGCGGACTTGTATACGGCACTTATCTATACATGGTACATGCAGATATTAATAATTTATTTGTGTGCGTGGTACATATTTACCTGGTACGAGCAGATATGTACATGGTACATACGTACACTACAGTACTACGCGGAATCGACTGCTGCGGCCTTCCTTCATTGGATAACAAAAAAAACGGTTGATGATTACTTTTGAGCAATTCTTGATAGATGTAAAGTTAACGTTTCAAACCAGAGAGGCATTTCGACAAAATTATGTTTTGTACGTGCGAAGAAAGCTAGCTCTGCGCGTAAAGCTGCCACATAGGCCACACAGTTATGTCCAGTATTTCTAATTAGAAATTTAAAATTAAAAAATTTTGAAATTAGGGAACTAAAACACTAATTGAATGTAAAAATTAACAGATGATATCTATGTTATGTTATGCTGAACCTGACTGCGTAAGTACATGAACCAATGAAGTACTTAAGCAATACTACGTACGGAATGTGCAGTACTAGCGTTAATTATAAAATTTACATGATTTAACTTCTAGTGACGCTGCCAACATTTGCGCATCGCCAACGCCACGCGCCCGTAGCGCGGCGTGCGCAAAGTAGCCCGCCGTTTTCCCGACTCGTTGCCAACCGTTGCAACTACGTCCCTGCCAAACACGAGAAACCGTACGCTGCACTTGCATCACCCTGCCGCCGAAGATCTTCGGTTTTCCAGACAAAAACGAAAATTTTCAATTGAAAAAATCTCTTATTTTAAACAGTAGTACCACGATTCATTGATAAAACCTCCCTGCTACCGTATAAATGATCCTCTGAATAAATCGATGTGTTTAAAGGCTGGTCTAACTGGGAGAAGAAAAGGTGCCCTTAACTACTGATTAGCGTAATTACACGCTCTAAATGGCGCCGATCAAGACAGAAACTAACGTTACGAAAGGCCGAAATGATAGCAAACATTACTGTAAGCTGGGTAAAGCATACGACAGCAAAACGGGAAGAATTAATTTCCAGAATTAGACAAACGTATCGTACAAATTTCTACGCAAATTAAAAGAAAATTCACACAAATCGCTATCCGCAGTTGCAGGAAATAGCTAAATCTTGGCGAAAAGAAGCGAAACACTCACCGAAATCTGATGGATACTTCGGAAAACTGAAAGGGGATGTCGGGAAAGGTGCTGAGTATGCTGACCGTTTCTCTGGATCTCGATGCCTGGGAACACACGTACAACGGTTGATTACGATCAAGCAGTCTTTCACTTAATGCAAATCGATATTCTGGAGCGATGATAATATGGTACTTACGTTATAATTACGAAAAAATCGACTGTAGGATCGCGGAAAAAATTCGTGAGATACTACGGTAATTTAGGAAAGTTCAAGGAGACGTTGAGAAGTGGAACGACTGACTGCCAATTTCAACTCTTCGCTCGATTACACGCTGCCGTACGATTATACCTGTTGCTTGCGCTAATCGCGGGCCCGCGCTGAAGCGCTGAGTCTGAGTCTGAGTCTGACCCCTAAAAGGCTGAGTCTGACTACTGAAAGGCTGAGTCTGAGTACTAAAAGGCTGAGTCTGACTATTAAAATGCTGAGTGTTCCTAAGACTGCTAAAGTAATATCTCGATAACTTTTAACTCTTGACCGGAAATATGTCCCATATGGTCCAGCGAATCCCCGTATTACATGCAACGCAAGGAATGTACAAGTGCAACTACAACATTTTAATTGGCAACAACCCATTCAGTCAAATACGGGACGTTTGTACTAGTGTAACTGCAGCAACACGAATGTTGAAAAGAAAGAATTAACTGTAATATAGCCGCTATTCGACATTTCCGGCCAAAATAAAACTCAATCTATTTTAATTATGACTGTGAATACCATCTATAACTATTGAACTGCTGAGAACTTCACGTCTGAGTCTCGAACCACTGACCAAGGTCAAAAAAAGGAAGGAATAAATAAAGGATGGAATGTTTTTTGGTCAAAAAGAGGAAAGATCAATTTCGATGGTAAAAAAAGGAAGGGAATTTTCGCGGCCAAAAAGGCATTAGATTTCTGATAGTCCAAAACAAGAGGAAAATGCGCTAAAAAATTTTAAAGTTGTGTAGTTGCACTTGATGGTCTGTACGTTTTAGTAGAAGAAGTACGTAATGCAACTGCAATAAGCGTTACAGCTATATAAACATACTAGCAGACCCCGCGCAAATTGCGCGGAGTAAATAATGCAATCAGCAATGGACAAATCCCATCTTAGCGCAAAAATAAAACTCATAACTGCAGGTATGTAAAGATATATCGTATGTAAACTCATAACAGCTGGTTTTATGAACGAAGCGTAGAATTCTATAATTCACAAATCAAAAATAATGTCCTTGCACACTGCACAGTTGATGTCACTTTATGATAACTACTGGAAAATTTGCCTGACCGTTTAATTGACTGCAGAATGGCCTAAAACCTGAAATGTGAAATTAATTTAAAGCTATTTTTCTCCCAAAAACGGGTAAATTTTTTTTCTTTCCGAACTATTTATTTCCAGATCAGTCACCATCAGCTAAATTTCGTGCAGCTGCTACATAAGGACCCTGTAATTTATTAAAACTTGTTGTTCCCTCTTTTCTTACTATTCTGAGCTTTTCAACGTATCCGATAGCAAATTATTTAAGTACTTTACATCCCAGTTTGACCACTAATACACCACTGCTGCTGCCCTTCAACAATCAGTACACTAATAAGTGATAAATTAAAACAGTAATAGTCACCTTTTTTTCCTATTACTTTCACCACAGGACAAAGTTAAAACACTTTATTTAAATAAGGACAGAAGCATTTTGTTGTATCTCCTTCTCCGCTGTTAGCTCTTTCTAAAATCGAGGACTTGTACGGAAAATTTCTTGCATGTTTGCTTCTCGATGCATCTCGGCGTTGACTGCGGTTTTGCCTTATGTGACAAACTAACGGAAGTAGTCAGTAGTCGCTGGTAAGCATGTAGCTACCTTGCTTATTAAGGGTTTCGGCCCCGTACATAGCACCAAATTCGGCTCGCGCACTCGTAAACCCTTTTTTTTGCTTTGTTTATGACATACTGCAGCCAGATGATTTGTATACATTGGCGTAGAAACCGTTCGAGCGCGTAACATCTGGTTCGGGAGCTATGGCTGTATGAAAATTTCAAAAGTTTAAATGCATTCAGGTGTACCAAAAGTCTCGTTATCAACCGATCTTCGAATACTGCATGTAAACGCACATATGCGTGAATATGGTTTTACACTCACAGACCCCAGCGTTGGCATTGTTTTCTATTTTAAAATGGACAAAGTTTTAATAAAAGGTGGTTCGGGGCAAGACGATCTTCGTCGTTATGTGCATTTACGTGCAAAATTTGAAAAGGAACCTTTTGGAATTTTGTCACTCTCATAACTTCGCAACCGAATTTTGCGCGCGAAAACGGATTCACGCCAATCTACACAAATCATTCGGCTACACAGTGTCAAAAGCAACACAAAAAGTGTTTGGAAGTGCGCGGAAGCAAATATCTATACTTCTACTCCGCGGCAGTAGTACACGAATTTAGTACTACGTACCGGGCCAAATCCTTAGCTGCAATTCTCGGCTAATGACTGCCAAGCAGTCGCTCAAATGCAGATGTCAGCTTGCCCCTTAAATCAGCCCCAAACACGTAATTCCGCCTTTCTGGAACATAATTTTCCACAGAAAAAAAAATTAAAAGTATTGCAACTCTGTAAATTTTTAACTTTAACAGCAATTCAGTACAAATGGCAACCACCCGTGGAAGCGTGGCAACTTTAAGCGGGTCAAACCAGTGCGAATGACAGCTCCTTGGGAAACAGTTTTTAAGCAGTTTTCATGCTTGAAGACCTTCTTTATGTGTTCTTGCTCAATCACCTGTTCTTGATGCCAAATACTGATTACAAATTTGTAAATTCGTTCAAGACCACGGAATAACACGTGGTCATGATTCAGAAGAACAGAAGTTTTCCCGACTCTAACTTGTAAGTCGGTCACTTCGTTGGCCGTCGAGACAGTGGTGGGGTGGTCGGTTTTGCAGTGATGGATTTTAGCTGTTCCCATAGGCTTTCCACGTCAAAAGTTTTGCAAGTTTTCTTTCAAACTTGTTTTTTTCCTTAAATTGTTTTATTGGCAAATCTGTACGTCGTAAAGGCTATCGAACGACATATAGACATTGAGTTGGATGAGTGCAGCGTTAATGCATCGATGACACACACGGAATTTTGTTAAGGCTTATCTTTTTTTTATTTATATAGATTCGTCGAGTAAAAGTACGAGTAATTACCCGTGCATAGTGTGCTATGAATATCGTTAGAAAAAATAACCTAGAGTACGTATTTAAGAAATGCGCTTTGATGTGCTGAATCATGCAGAGCAGAAAAAAACTGAAGTTTGAACGTCGTGAAAAACCAGATGTTGCATGCCATTGATGCATCGCATATTTCCATCGAGTGGGCTATTCGGAAAGCGCCAAAAAAATAACAGATTACTGCTCTTTACCGTTTAGTCGTTGAGCTTTAAGGCCATGGCTAGTTCGGCTTTATTCCTAATAGGCCATTTTGCAAAAGAAAGGCGCTTTACAGATTGAAGACTGCTCTATCCGATGGTAAAAACATTGAAGTGATAAAATTCCAGGGTTTTGAAATATAAATTTTTTAAGTTAGCTGCCTAAACTGAGTAACGATGCTACCAGTGACTGGCCCGGCTCACCATTACGAACGGATATGCAAGTTAGCGCATCTGCGATGAAATCAATGGAGCACAGAAGCGGATACGCATCTTTTGTTCTACCGCCATCCATAAACAGCGCACTGGTCAGCGGAATCAAAGCAAACACCGAAAGACAATAGATTTTGATCACACTCAAGTGTGGTAAGAAGCGGGCAAGGGCTGTCTGGATAGTCACTATGGTTTGATATGTGTGGTGGGCTGAAACAGTCAACATGCCCACAGTGATGTAAACTTGCATGAACTTTCGAAGGCTACCGTTCAAAATGCACCAGATAAAGTTTGAAGACTAACTCCTAATTCAGGCGATCTAACATGATTTTGAAACTTAATGCACAGGGTGTAGAAATACCTTAAAAGTATAATTGCGAGCGATTCTGAAAAAAATTGTTTTAACTCAGGTTATTTACAAAAATCGAAAGCCCTAAATGTGTTTTTTTTAAGTTTGTGAAGTTTAAAAATTTTTTTCAAAAAAAGCCCTCGCAAGGTGCAGGAGGACTATGTTTACAATTTTCTGGGTGGTCTATCTAAAATTCTGTATGGTTGCCTGAAGACTAGTTAATTTTTGAGCGTGATTTATTCAATTCACATTTTAAACTGTGTGTTTAAAGCCGATCTTTCCGGTTTAAAGTTGTGAATTTTTCTCAATTTAAATTGGATATAACGAAGTATCAAGAAAGAAAATATGATTTCAAAAAACTTAAAAAACCGACCTTCTTCATCTGAATAAAGCCAAACCAGCCAGTGGCCTAAAATGCAATCGGTACATCTTCAAATTATTGTGAGTTATTACCGTGAAAGTTACCGGTCCCAGTTAAATCCATCATACAGTATTTACTAAGCTCACGGCTTATTTTAATTTATTAGATACACCGTTCCACAGTTATTTAGACAAATGCTGATACTAAAGAATTAATTAGCTAACTGGTAATTATTTTTGCCCCTATCATGTACCGGACTTACCGGTGACACCACTTCCCTCAAGGTGACCACTCCGTAAACTTTTGAATTACTTCCGCGCTTTGAATCCCAATTTATAACGTAAACTAAAATGAATAAACGTATGCGTACATTTTTATAATTATTTCTAATTGTTTAAAAACAGTGTTTACGTGAAACTACAAATCTGTGTTTTCGGTGAGTGGCTCATGAAACACGGCATGTGACACACGTGTGCATGACCATGTCGTTTCATTCAACCGCCGACTGATAACATCTGGGCAGTAACACCCTTATCTGGTGCACCATAAAAGCTGTCTTGAAATAGAACATATTTCTTTCAGACACCACAAAACGGATCTCTGCTGACAAACATTTGTCGGCAAAGGGCTTCTACATTCCTGCTCTTTAAATATAGGGGAACTCAACTGCTGAGGCCAGCACTCCTGTACTTGCTGCCGTCAGCCGGCTGAAGTTTTACGTTGTGGCTAAACATGGTGCTATGTACCGCGCCTGATTTAACCGTATGTACCCCGCAACGTCACACCAGGCGGGTGACGGCATCAAGTACAAGGAGTGCTGGCCTAAACAGTTAAATTCCCCTATATGCAAAATATGTTGCATTCAGTACTGTTTGAGTATTTCAATTATAAAGAGGCACAAACGCTCAACTTCATGCATCTTTTAAAGAGATAAATTTA